GACCCCAGGTACTTAATAAATACAGAATGAATGAATCTTCTACTTACATCCAAGTCTCTCTTCCATCTTCCCCAATGATTTTCTCCATCAGAACCCCCTGGTGACTTCAGCATTCATAATGACAATTTTTCTAACATCCATCAACCTCCTTAACTCCCACGACATTAGCCTAAATGACTCATAGAGGTGGAAACCACTTGGGAAGCATCATCACCTGTAAATCCACCTGTTCTATCTCCAAGTTCATATATCCTAAAGATTTTCTCTCCCCATCTCTCCCTTTCCTCCCATTTCTTCACTGTCTCTCTCCTCCAGAACCTGCTCTGTCCACATTATGACTTCCGATCTCCAGATCCCATCCTGTTCTCACAGACTATTCTGCTATAAGCTTCCTTCCTTGAGAGCCTTCACTCTACAGCCCTTGTCCTTCCACTGTTGCTATCTTTTTCCAATCCTGGATCACTCAATCATTTATCTTTTCTCCTTATTTCCAATCCACCAACGCTGCTAGAGGAAATCATAAAACTATGTTGACTGGGTCCACTAGAAATCTATGCCACCTAACCTCAACCAGGCACTTACTGGTACAGAACAAACCTTTTTAGATTGCTTTAGAATCCATTTAGATTCAGATTTAGATGCCAGAAGCAGCTAGGTGGTGCAGGAGATATAGCACTGGGCATGAAGTCAGGAAGACCTGAGTTCATATGTGGACTCAGATACCGGCTGCATGACCCTGGGCAAGTCACTTAACCTCTGTCTACCTCAATTTCTTCAACTGTAAAATGGGGAGAATAATAGCACTTACCTCCCAAGGTTGTTACGAGGTTCAAATAAGATATCTGTAAAGAACTTAGTGCAGTAACTCTGAAATAAGATATACTGGCAAAGGGGTATAGAAATCTGTCCTGCCCTACCTGAAAATATAGAAGGGGAAGGAGATAAAAGAAGGGGGGGATGACAGAAGGGAGGGCAGATTACGTGAAGGAGTATTCAGAATGCACGCCGTCTTGGGGTGGAGGGAGGGGTAAGATAGGGAGAAAATTTGGAACTCAAAATCTTGTGGAAGTGAATGTTGCAAACTAAAAAACTAAAAAAAAATTTTTTTAAAAAGGGAAAAAAAGAACTTAGTACAGTGCCTAGCATGTAGTAGGTGCTTAATAAATGCTTATTTCTTCCTTTCATTCACCTCTTTTTGTCGCATTCCCCATAGTAACTACTCTAAACCTTGTCCTCAAGTCCCCACACCCTCTTTCTCTAAGCAAATAATCTTGCCTCTTACTTGGGCTTATTTAATCTTTTTATTTCCCAGATTTCTGCCCTGGTGCCCCAATGTCCTTCTTGGTCACTCTCACCTGGCTCACTCTTTCGGGGAGACTCTAACCACTCTTCACTTCAGACTTTGCTCTATGGTCTTATTCTTAACTCTGCTGGAGGCCTTCCTGCCATTTGCATACTCTCCCCACTCTGCTATCCCCTCCAATTCTAGCACTACATTAAAACTAACTCTCATCACCCTTCTAACAACCCTTTGGACCAAAGTGCCCCAGGACTCCAGCCACTACTACCTTATGTATGTGTTCTATCCTATTAGAATGTAAATCCCTTGAGGTCAGAGATAAATGTGTATCCCCAGCACTTAGCACACAGGAAGCCTTCAATAAATGCTTTTTCATTTATTCATTTGCATGTCATTCAATGTACATCAACAAGCATTCATCATGTGCTTACTATGTGCCAGGCACCATACTAAACACTAGGCAATCAAAGGTGACAAAACAGTCCCTGGCCTCAAGGAACTCACATTCTAATGGGAGACAACACGCAAATGACCATACACAAACGAGATATGTTCAGGGTAAAGTGGAGGTAATCAGAGCAGGAAGGCAATAACATGAAGGGGAATTAGGAAAGGCTTCTTGCAGCAAAGTTGGAAGAGACCTCAGAGGCTGCCAGTCCAAAACTTGCCTCCCTATCTCAAACTTTCTTTTTGGTTCTCCTGTGCTTGTCTCAATTAACAACGTGTCCCTTCTCCTTACCAACATTAACCCCTCAGTGTCTCTTTCCCCCTCTTCCCCTTGTTTCTACGCCCCCTCCCCTCTATAGCTCCTTCCCTGCTGACTACAATAAAGCTTAGATCTTCCCTATAAAAAGAGCAGTCTACATCCCCTGAATCTGATGCACTCCCCACTAGCATGCAATCCACTTAAAAGGATTCTCTCTCCTACTGAAGCTGCAATCACCAAATTCACCAATGACTTCTTAACTGCCAACTCTTTTTCTTTACTCCTCGTCTGCAGCATCTGACACTGTTGATCGCCCTCTCTCCTTTTTGAATATTGTTCATCCCTTGATTTCTATCAAACAGCTCTCTCCTGACCTTCCACCATCTCAGATTCCTTGTTGTTAGTGTCCTTTGCTAGATCATGTGCTCCTCCAGTCCTGTGACTTCCATGATCACCTCTAGACAGATAACTCTTAAATGTAGACATCTCCCCCATCTTTCTCCCTAGATACCAGCGAAGTATCTACATTGGCAGGACACATCTCTACCTGGATGTCTGGCTAGCAATCAAATCCAGAAAGTCCAGGAATGATCACATCATCATTTACCGTCAGCCTGCACTCCTCCCAACTTCCCTAAATCTGTCGATGTCACCATCCTTCTCGTTACACAATTTTCAAGCTTGAGTCCTTTGTTTCTTCCTTCCGCATCTCTCCACAGGGCCCAGCAGTCTCCACGTGCAGGCAGCTCTCCCTCCACAATGTCTCTTGCATCTGCCCCTTCCTCTCCACCTAAGGCCACCACCTTGCCTCCAATTCTCTCCCTTCTTCAACCTGTCCTTCACACGTTTGCCATAATCATCTCCTAATGCACACACCTGACCGTGACTTTATGTCATTCCTCTGGATCCCCTTTATACTTGGAATAAATTATGTCTCCTCCCTGGATTTAAAGCTCTTCACGATCTGGCTCTAAGCAGGCCTTTTCCGGACATACTTCTCACACTATATTCTGGCTAAGCTGAACTAAACTGGCTATAAACTGTCTAAGCTACTTATTGCTCTCTTTTCTTACCATGAATTCAAGTGAAATCAACAAATCTGATTCAATTCAACAAACATTATTAGATGCTTACAAGGTGCAAGGTACTGTGTTACAGGCTAGGGAGACAAAGATAAAAAGGAAACATTGTTCTGCCCTCAAGGAGCTCACACAAGTAGAATTGAAGTAGAATCCTCCTCTTCTTTCAAGTGCCAGGTCAAGAACTGCCTCTACCATTAATCTCTCCCCAGGTGAAGCTGACCTCTCCCTCCTCAGATTTTCCTAGAGCACTTTGGATATTTCCTTTGCCCCATTATATTTCACCTTGTCTTTATGATTATTTGTGCACTTAATATATGCCCCTTACTAGACTGTAAACACTTTAAGGCAAGGGCCATGTTGTGTTTGCATTGCTGTGTTTGAAGCAAACTGGCTAGTAGTAGGTGTTTAATAAATGCTTGTTAAATTGCATTGAATCTCCATTTTATTAGTACATAATTGATATTTCAACGGATCTGTGATCTCATAGAGATGGTTGCTTCCTCAACCACAAAGATTACAACTCACCTACACCTTGGAATCTTGTGTGTCTGATCCCTCTACCCATAAATGCACCATAGAGGATCTACCCCAAAGGGTGGACATCACTCTCTAGGTCTATGTTTCAAGGATACCAATGCAGAGCTTGGGCTGTCCATCTGCTATCCTTCACTCTATTACAAGACCAACTCACTTCTTTTTCTGATCATATACTTCCTGGATAAAATAAATTCGTCAGTGTCATTTCTGACATACGTCATTGTTGCTAGTACGCTCCCTTTTATGTATACCTACATTCTAGGAAGGACACTGACAAGCAGTGTGGCTACTATAGGTAAAGAGCAGCTAGGTGATGCAGTGTATAGAATGCCAGGCCTGGAATCAGGAAGACATCTTCCAGAATTCAAATCTGGCCTCAAATACTTACTAGTTGTGTGGTCCTGAGCAAGTCACTTAACCCAGTTTGCCTCAGTTTCCTCATCTGGAGAAGGAAATGGCAAACCATTCCAGTAACTTTGCCAAGAAAACCCCAAATGGGGTCACAGAGTCAGACGCAACTGAAAAACAACTCAACAGCAGCATTATAGGTAAAGGGCTTTGGATTTATGTTATAGGAGGTTCAGTTAAAGCAAGGTCCTCTGGCTCTGGATGCAGTGACGTAGACTAACCAAGGAGACATGAGCTCCTCCTTACTCGGGGTCTTTCAGCAAAGGCTGGATAGCTAGATGGCGATTGCTAAGAATGTCATCGAAGGGACCATTCAGCCATTGTTTAGACCAGATGGCCTCTAAGGTCCCCTCCAAACTCTTAGAAATTCTGTCATATGGTTTTTTGTTTACTAATAAGCAAAAACCAAACCCATTTGGATCTTTCTTCTCTACAACTCTCTCACATACAGTGTATGACTGAAAAACATGATCTGATATGGAAACTAATGGACAAAAGCTTCATCAATGATCTTTTCACTACATGGATAGATCATGCCCTTAAAGCTCTTGCAGAGCTGAGGATGAAGCATATAGGTCAGGAGGCACCAATGTCTTTAATAGAAAGGATCATTAAGTATTATGACAGGTAATCAGATTATAGAAACTTATCTTCTAAAGAACTTCAAAACCACAATAGATCCCTATCTTTTTGAGAGGGTACAGGTAGAAATAACTGTTAGCTTCCAGAGTATCCTCAGAATTCTTAATAACACCAAACAATGCCCCCATTTCCAGCTGATGAAGCAAAAGATACAGCTAACAATAATCAATTGATTTCTGCTTCCTAACCATTAATAAAAATCTAATTTGGTATAACATATATATCTATCCAGCATTAATTAAAATTATGAAAATTTCACAATTTCAAATTAAACTTCAAGAAAACAAGTTGAGGCTATAATACAAGATAGAAAAGAAGTACTTACGATTATCATAAATTGGGTTGGAGACAACAGGAGGAAGAGCTGATATTAAATTGCCATGTTCATCAAGAAGGAATACTTGAAAACAGAGTCTCACCACGTTGAGATCACAGTCTTCAATGTTGAGTAGCTGTTGTTCTGGAACTGCATAATAAAATTATTTTAAGGAGATTTAAATAATCATGAAGATTTTTAAAAAGCACAGATTCCTCCCTCCCATAATTCCATCCAACTAACTTGGAAAGAGGTTAGACAAATATGTTCTTTAAAAAAGTGAATGGCACATTTTTAAATCTACAATATACCATTTTTCCTGACCCAGACCCAATCACTCATCATTCAAGTATTTCCAATCATAGGCACTATGTTAGGCATTTTATAAAAGTGGAAAAACAGAAATTGAACCTTCCCCTTTTTGGAAGAATAATAGAGGAGAATAAAAAATTGACACTGGCAATATAAATGATGCTGAACAAATGAATATATGCAGTACACAGCAGTGACTGTGACATATTGCACTACAGTACAGTGAAAAGAATGGCAGATTTAGAATCAGGGGACCTGGGTCTGAATCTTAGTTTTGCTACTTACTACTCTGTGACGACCTTGAGTGAGTCACTTAAAAGATTTGGTAAGGTAATTCACTTTAAAGTGTTAGTAATATGATTAAAAAACAAACCCTAAATAAAGAGGTAGCAAAGCACCTTAGGATGAATCTGCAATCAGAGGACATGAATTTAAATCCTGTCTCTGGCACTATGTGACGTTGGGCAAATCACTTAAAATACTGGGGTCTCAGCTTCCTTGTCTTCAAAATGAAGGGGTTTAAACTGCCCTCTGTTTCCAGTTCTAAATCTATGATCCTGTGAGTGGATAATTATATTGTATGAAGAGAATTAAGAAGAAACTTAGCTGCATACAGGACAAAAATAGCTAACATTTATATAGCACCATCTATGTGCCTGGCACTGTGCTAAGTACTTTACAAATATTATCTCATTTGATTCTCACAACAACCCTGGAAGGTAGGGACTATTATCATCTCCATCTTACAGCTGAGGAAACTGAGGCAAACAAAAGTCAAGTGACTGGCACGAGGTTACACAGAACATACCAGAATTAAAAATGCTGTGTTTTGGGAGGTAATGTACAGATGTTTATAAAGAAGCCACACTTAGTTTACATATACAAGGAAAAATCACCAAGATTTTTAGTATGAAATTTTATGTACAAATAAAAATTAAGACAAAAAAATTTTAGAGTCAAAAAGTTTTACGCTAACATTTTTATAGATTTTCAGAAATAGAAAAACCCTGTAATGACCTAATATATATATATATATATATTTAATTTATATTTGAAAGAAACTCAGTTCCTATTAGAAATATATTTCTGCCCTTTTTTTTTACCTTTATAGCACACCTATTATCACATTACTAAAATTCTGATTTTTGTATTTCTTAATCCTGACATAAGTTCTCATATTGCTCACATTCACTATCCAGAAGGGTACTCAGATTGAAAGCATACACACATATGTATATATATATATAAATCCCTACAGATAACACTAAAATACAAATTTCCTAGCTTTGTACATTGCAGTACTTATTAAAATAACTGTGATTTCTTTTGGATTAAGGCTTTCATGGATGTGATATTCAGCAAAATAACATGTACAAATTTCTACATAATAGCTATTCTTTTATCATCTCTAACTTTTCACCAGATTTAGAACTGTACTATAGTACAGAGGTTCTCGAAATTAGCATCTGGAACATGCTGCACCATGTAACACATTTGAACATCTAAAGGTCAAAACGATATCAATATTTGCATCATATTGGTGTACTCTGCCCCCTCAATATGCCTACTCATTAAAACACTTTAACAATATTATAATGTAATGTTGTATAGACAATGTAAATTATATCAAATAAATTTTGAATTAAAAATACTGAACAATAAAGATTACCTAGCATAAGATAGACAGCTGTGTAAATGTACCTATATATGCAAAATAACTCAAAATAATGGTATATTTGATATAAGTTTATGACAATATAAGTGTATTCAGTCTTTCCAAGTTAAAGAAATATTAATCATCCACAGTTTACTGACATAATATTCTTAAATTTGATCTCAAAATCTGAATAAAAAGTTAGATGCCTGAGACCTCTATCCCTTTTTCTGCCTTTTTACTTTATGCGTAGCTTAATACTAGTTATTCATCCCAATCAGAGAGTGAGAAAAATTAAGAGCTGTTTTTGTTCTTCACAAAAAATTATGCTATGAGGCTTAGTACTTGATAACTCTTCATACTAAGAATATCTTTCTGGCTCTGCCACATTGCTAGGCTGCCATCAAAATGTGGAAGCTTCTTTTTTTTTCTACATCAAGCTGACAGCAAGCACACCCCCAATATCATAGCCTAGCACCATAAACCTAATGAAACACCACTTTTGACACTTTAGCCACTTTTAACACTTTTAATATTTCCCTCCTCTAAAACCTTCAATGGCCACCCCTTGCCTATATGATAAAATTCAAACTCCTTATTCATGGTCTTACACAATGAAGTTCCAAGCTGCCTTTTTAAACTGCTTTCTCACCACTCTGCAATACTAATCAATTAACAAGCTTTGATGAGAGGTTTACTATTTGTCAGGCCTTGTGTCTGACATAGGCACTGTGCTACCAACAATACAAACAAAAATAGAATTATTTCCTGCCCTCGAGGAGCTTGGGGGAGACAAAATGTACATAAATAGGTATTAACAACAGATAAACAAAATACACTGTGTGTAGGTAACCAAAGAGGAGAAGGTCCTAGCAGCACTTGAGGAGCTCGAAAAGGGTTCCTGTAGGTGTCTTTGAGCTGAGTCTTAAAGGAAGCTGAGATTGTAAGAAGCCAAACTGGGGGGGGGGGAACATTCCAAGCATTGAAGGGGGGTGAGGGGCCACCAGCACAAAGGAGCAAAGAAGAGAAATGGAGTATTATGTGCACAAAACAGCATACAGGTCAGGATGGCTGAATTGTAGAGTTCATACAGGGGAGTAGTGTTTAGTCCAAGGCAGGGTGAAGCCAAGGCATGAGCTGGGCAGAGGAGAGGGCCGAATACATGGGGTCTCCTTTGGGTTTGCATTTTTTATTTAGTTTTCAGTACACTATTTTGTGGAATAATCAAAGGCTTGTAAATCTTATAACTTACAAATAAATGACTGAACTGGGTTTTTAAAAAAGAAAAAGAGAGACTGGAAAGATAGGTAGGGGCTAGATTGTGACAAACTCTAAATGATAAACGGGGAGTTTATCTTTGGTCCTAGAGATAACAAGGAGCCACTGGAGTTCACTGAGGGAAAAGGTGGGTGTCATTAACCTTATGTTCAAGTCAGACCTCTTGGTCCCTTAAGCAGGTCTTACACATTCTTGCCAATGATGCCTCTGGTTAGCTCCACTTCTCCTCTCCACCTTCCCAAATATTACTCACTTTTAAAGGACCTGTTCAAGACCACATCCTCTGTAAGCCATTCTTGACCCCTCCCCAATTCAGTGTGCTCTCTCCTTCTGTATTTCTATTGCTGTCATTTTCTGTACCACTTATCATATCCTGCTCTATTTTTAATTCTCAATTATGATTATCATCTCCCCAACTAAATAATACACTCCTTAACAGTGGGATTACCTTATGCATTGTTTTCTAGCTCTCATAATGCAAAATTACCTTGCATATATTTTATATACATTTATATGGCTACGTGTTGTTTTCCTAATAGACCATCACTCCTTGAGGGCAGGAGCCACTCCATTTCTGGCTTCGTATTCCCAATGCCTGGCACATGGTATTTAATAAATGCATACTGCCTAACTGCCCAGCCAAAATGCCTTGGACATAGCAGGCATTTAATTATGTATCTGGACCTGACCTGTGATTACATAGGTCTAGGAAACTCCCTGGTGAGGAAACTTCCTCTTCTAAAGCAGATCAACATCTATGCTGCAACTTAAAATCTTAAGAGACATTGCTCCCAATTACTACTCATAAATTCACAATGCACAAAAAATAACTTAAAGGAATATGAAGCTCCAGAGGATTATTAAATATGTTTGATAGCCTTATGCCAAAAAGGGACATGATTGAAGAATAGCTAGTAAGACTTTCAGAGAAGAATTAAGTATAAACACAGAAGGCAAGTGATTTTTGAATATAACTTAAAGGTTATATTTCTGGAAAAAAAGGATAAAAGAGTTGTCTGGCTTTTGCAATAATATTAAGGGTACACCTAACAATCCCAAGCATGAGTTATTTTTAGTAAATTTTTATTGATCTTACTTCATCTGGTTCCCCCATACAATCCTCTTTCTGCCTTGATTCCTTTATGATATCCCATCATTTATGTCAAAACAATTTTTAAAAGAAGGAAAAAGAAGTAAAAGAGAGGGAAATTTTCAGCAAAACCAGTCAATACAAAATCTGACATTGTATGCAATGTTTCACTACCATCTTAGCAAAGAAGCAACAGATGCAGGGGAAAGTGAAGAGTGGGGTCTTCCCATACCTTTTCTCTGGGGCCAAGCTTATTCTTTATAATTTCTCACCATTCATTTTCAATTGTTTTGTGGTTATTGGCCTTTCTATTTATGTCATTGCTTTCATAGTGTATATTGTTTTCCTGGCCCTGCTTATTTTTACTTCCCCTTTTTCACTTCATGTCTTCCCATGCTTCTCTGTATTCATTCATCATCTATATCATTTCTTACAGCACAGTAATAATCCCCAATCAACTGATGGACATCTACTTTGTTTCGCAAAAAATGCTACAATAAATAGTTTTGGTGTATATAGGACCTTTTTACTGCGCAAAATAACTCAAAATAATGGAATATTTGATATAAATTTATGATATAATATAAACTGATTCAATCTTTTCACAAAATTAGAGAAATATTAATCATCCACACCTTACTGACTTATATATTAACAATAATATGAACGAATCAATCAACAAACACTTATAAAGTGCCTACTATGTGCTAAGCATGCAAATAAATATATACAAATACATCAGGCTATATACAGGAAAAATGGGAGATAATTAACAGAGGGAAGGTGCTGGAATTGAAGAGCTGGGGAAAGCTTCCT